AGGGTGGAATGCAGTGACATGATCAGAGCTCACTGTAACCTCAAACTCCTGGACTCAAGTGATCCTCCTGCCTTAGCCTCTTGAGTAGCTAAGAATATGGGCAAACGCTACCGTGCCTGAATAATTTATTTTTCTTTTTTGTAGAGACAGGGTCTCACTACATTGCCCAGGCTGGTCTCGACCTCCTGGACTCAAGCAATCATCCTGCCTCAGCCTCCCAAAGTGCTGGGATTATAGGAGTGAGCCACTGTGCCTGGCTTATTATTATTATTTAAAATGTATGTTTGTGTGTGTATGAACTTTTAAAGTATGTTTCATAATGAAAATGTTTTGAAATTATATAGGGAAAAAGGAATCTCCTGGCAGGCACAACAGTGAACCAGGCGTGAGGCTGGGAGGCTTCCAGCTGGGGCTGGGTCCCTCACCTGACGGCTTTCTAGCTTTGGCCAAGTCAGGCATCTGCTCAGGCCTCAGTTTCCTAATTTGTGACAGACTGTCTGCTCCACCTGCCTTACAGGACTGAGGTAAGACTTAGAACCACAACCATGTGTGGAAAAACACTTTCAAACTAAGGAATTGCTACACAGAGGTGAAGGGTCAGTAAATAACGTCATGAGTTATCAAAGGCCTAAGGAGGCAAGCGTGAGTGCCCTGTGACCAGGATGTGGGCTCCGTGCCTGCTCCTCAGTGGAGTATTTCCGATGCTACTGAGGTCACCAGAAGCAGAGGGGGCTGTCGTTGTATCCCCACTGCTATCATGGCTTGGCAATTTAGAAACAACTACCACAATGTGATTTTATTTATTTAACGAGCTCTTACGTAGCACTTATTTGTCAGGTACACTTTTGAGTGCTTGACAAATATTTACTCATTTAATCCTCCTCCAACCCTGAGGTAGTCACTCAGGGTTATTTCATGTGGGAGGAATTTAAGGCTCAGAGAAGTCAAGTAACTTGATCAAGGCCACACAGCTAGCAGGGAGTGGGTATCTAACTAAGGCAGCTGTGCTTTCTCCTTCCATCCTTTCTCACCATCCTCTTGCCCCATGAAATGTGGTCACAGAGCTCCTCATGCCAGTTTATTTATGTTAGGGGCATGAGATTAAACTTTTGATAAGAAATTTAGTTCCTAACTTGGTAGCTTCAATTCTGGTTTTCTGGCTGAGTTTGGTAGCATGGAAAAGCAGGAATGGGCTGGGAATGAGACACCAGTCACTCATTAGCTGTGTGACTTTGGGTAGGTTACTTAACTTCTCTGTTGTTCAAGTGGTATTTTGTGAGGGTTGAGTAAGTTTATGTATTGTGACAATGCCTGGGTTCATGTCAGCCAGGTAGCCAATGCCTCCTTTTTTTTTGAGAGAGAGAGAGAGAAGCCTCACTCTGTCACCCAGGCTGGAGTGCAGTGGTGTGATCTCAGCTTACTGCAATTCCTGCCTCTTGGGTTCAAGCAATTCCTCTGCCTCAGCCTCATGAGTAGGTGGGACCACAGGCATGCACCACTATGCCTGGCTAATTTTTGTACGTTTAGTAGAGACAGGGTTTTGCCATGTTGGCCAGTCTGTTCTTGAACTCCTGACCTCAGGTGATCCGCCTGCCTCGGCTTCTCAAAGTGCTGGGATTACAGGCGTGAGCCACTGCACCCAGCCTAGCCGATGCCTTCTTAATTCTCATCTTTTCCTTCATCTTTTTTTAAACCAGTGAGTTTAGACTTGAGAATACAGAGGTGAATAAAGCCCAATGCCTGTCTTCAGGTTTGCAGAATGGCCTAGGTGGGAGCTGGGGAACACGGTCAATCAGGCGTCGGAGGACAGCTCTCACCAGTCCTGCCTCTCTTCTTGCCTTGAGGACCTTGGAAGAGTTTCTTTGCTTCTTTGTTGTACCTTTGTCACTTGTAAATGGGGCCTGGATTGTCCCCACTCCAAGGCCCCATCTGTTCTATCATTTTCTGACTTATCACATTTAGGTCAGGACAGGCCTGTGTCTGCGGGGTCAGGGCTGTAGCAGGTGAACCCACGGTGTATCAGCGTTTCCCTTTAGGCCACTCTTGTCAATGCTCCCAACAGCCTCCTCCTTCCTCCCTGTGGTGCTCTGGGGAGGTCTCTTGGCTCTGCCCCAAAGTAGGAATGGTGGAGACAAAGACAGCTTCACATTCTCTTCACCTGTAAGGATTGAGAGTGGCGGATTTGGGAGGAGAAAAATGAGTCAGTGGCAACTCGTGTGTGACTCTGCAGTTTATCTGAGGCTGCCAGAGCCACAGTCATAGTTTTTGGCTGAAAATAACCCTCATTTAAGAACGGTTGCCCAGGCACTTTGCTGGACTAGGAGGCCTGGGGACACTAACTGAGAAGTCAAGGGGGACAAGAGCCAGCCTGTCATCCTCAGTGTCTCACAGACTCCTGGAGAAGTGGGTGTTTTGGCAGGAAGGTGGTGGGTAAACACCTGAAACGACCCATTCTGTTCTCTTTTCTACTTCCTCGTACCAGTGCCATGGAATGAAGGGCAGCTCCATTACCTCAAGTTTAAGATCCTCATAAAGGCAGTTAATATCCTGTAATTACACAGGTGAATTGCACTTAGCAGGCCCATTTGAAGAAGCGCAGTGAAATGGATCCTGTCTTAGTAGTGTGACCTTTACTGGGCAAGTTAAATCCCCAAAGCTAGCCAGTTTAAGGATGCCGAAGGACCTTCTGTGGCTTTATTTCTTCTTCACCTCATTTATTGATTTGTGTAGATCTTTCAAAGTTGCAGTGGCATTTATGAAGCTGCCGAGGCCTTCTGAAGCTTAACAGGCCTGTTGATAAAGTTTAACAAAACTGTTAAAATTCTGAGCATGGAGTGAGCAGCAAAGACCATACAAGAAAACAGGACATAAGTCTGCTTTCCATTAAAAAAAAAAAAAAGATAAAAAAACGTTAAGTCAGGCACAGTGGGTCACGCCTGTAATACCAGCACTTTGGGGGGCTGAGGTGGGTGGATCACAAGGTCAGGAGTTCAAGATCAGCCTGGCCAAGATGGTGAAACCCCGTCTCTACTAAAAAAAAAATACAAAAATTATCCAGGTGTGATGGCAGGCGCCTGTAATCCCAACTACATGCTGCTTTCTTCTGTCCTTCACTCTCCTGAATTCTCTAAAACTCACTTTTTAAGTCATTCATTTAGACTTCAGAGTCACTAAAAACTAAGAGACTGAAATTACAGGTCCAAAAGGAGGCTGAGGCAAGGGAATTGCTTGAACCTGGGAGGTGGAGGTTGCAGTGAGCCAAGATCGTGCCACTGCACTCCAGCCTGGGTGACAGAGCAAAACTCTGTCTCAAAAAAAAAAAAAAAAAAAAGAAAAAGAAAACGTTAAGAGACAGGACAAGCCATTTCTTTTCCACCTCTTTGTATTACAAGTTCCTGGTTGTTCCTGTGCCTGTTGCCTGCAGACTGCTGCTGATACCTCCCGTGCCCTCTCGGTGGCTTACCTCTGTGCCCATCTGAGTGGCCTAGCTCACTCTTCTGACCACAGCAGCATATCTGATTCGGAAGTGAGACTTCAGTTTCCCCTTCTTCAAATGCTAACCAGCTGGAGCTGCAAAACGTTCTCCCCTGGCAGCCTGAAGGTTGACTTAAGGCTAGAATATCTTTTTCTTGCCTCATTAGTTTTTGGGACATAAGAGAGTTAGCTGGTAAGAGATGGCAGTGAAAATACTTCCAGACTAAACCTAGTAAACCCCCAAGTAAAAAGTGGCTGTGAGATTCATGGTGTTTCCTTCTGTCCTTCACTGTGCTGAATTCTCTAAAACTCACTTTTTAAGTCATTCATTCAGACTTCAGAGTCACTAAAGACTTAGAGACTGAAATTATGGGTCCGAAGGTACTGAGGAAAGACAGAAATTCATCTGAATGGAAATAGCCAGTCCTTGAGGCCCTTGGCTCTGCCATGCTACCGGGCATGTCACTTGGTCTCATTTCATCTCTCACCAGTCCTGGAAAGTGGGCATTAGTAACAGCTGAGGACTTTAGACTCAGCGTGTACAAAGTCATACAACTTGGGAGTGGCCAAGTTCAGACTCAAACCTGCAGCCACTGCCTTTAACCATGAAGCCATGAAGTCTTCCCAAGAACTGCTACAAGGGGACAGTGTTCTTGAACCTAACCCTGCAGGGTTAGTAGGTTTAAATAAGCAGAGAGGAAAAGGAAGAGAATTCTGGGCAGGAGGAGCAGTTGGTACGAGCAGAAGCGTGGGGGAAGGACTATGCATGGCACACAGCAATGCCTGCTGGTTGCAAGCTCCATGGAGCAGGGCACCATGGCCTCTGGAGCCATCTTATATCTCCCAGTGCCTGAGTGCCTGTGCATAGTAGCTGCTCAATAAATATTTATCGCATGAGTGAATACTTGAAAAGACAGTTATCTTCTCCATAGACCGAATCCCCTGAAGTCAGGTATTTGGTCTTAGAAATCTTTGGATGTTCTACAAGTCACAGTGGTTATTAAATAGCAAACACTCAATGAGTGTGTCCTGATAAAATGAGGGAAGGAACAGGTAAGGGAGGGTGAGATTTGCCTGAGTGACGAGACACTGATACTTTGAGGAAAACTGAGCAATATGCGTAGACTGCCATGGTAAGGGTGTATCATGGAAGGTCATCAATGCCAGGATGAGGAGCTCTTGTGTCCTCCTTGAGACATTTTTTAAAAATCCATCTCTTACTGCACAACATCATGGACCACAGGACCCAGGCGGTGCCCCCACTGATGGGTGCATATTGGAACCAGAGTCTAGCACTTCTTAGAAATCATTTTTCTGCCTTAGCCTGGCCCCATTGTCACTGTCTTCCCATTTGAGGGTGGCCACACTGTTACAACCAAAAAGAGACCTGCATAAACTTGTGAATGGGAACCTTCTAGATCCCACCATTGTTTTGGGGGTAGTTAGGCTGGAAAGTCCCAGCCAGCTTCCTGTAATAGGTGTTCTCAGGCCAGGAGTTCTCAATAAAAGCTGCCCTCTCTTTTCAGGTGTTGGCTACCTTTGTGGTTTTAAGAAAGCCTGAGGGCGTGAAGGTAGCCCCAGGAGAAGCCCTTTCCGAGGGCATTCGGAACCTTCCCATCCTAGAGGTGAAGCTGAACTGCCACCAGGACTTATGACCCGCGGCTTCGCTCCCATTCTGCCCATCGAGTTCCACAAGATGGGCTCCTTCCGCAGGCCTAGACCGCGCTTCATGAGCTCCCCCGTGCTCAGCGACCTTCCCCGATTCCAAGCAACTCGGCAGACTCTGCAGCTGAGCTCCAGCTCAGCCTGGAACAGGTGAAGGAGGCCGCAGGGTGTGGGGTGGAGGGTTGCCAAGGGCCACGGCAGGGAGGGAGGCACCTGGGGGCTGACTGAGCTTCTGCTGATTCTGGGAAGGTTGTGATTATGGAAGTAAATGATGAGGAGAGCAAGTTTTCTCTTTTTTTCCTTTTTGTAGAGACAGGGTCTGACTCTGTCACCCAGGCTGGAGTGCAGTGGTACAATTATAGTTCACTGCAGCCTCAAACTTTTGGGCTCAAGTGATCCTCCTGCCTCAGCCTCCCGAGTTGTTGGGACTACAGGTGCATGCCACCACGCCCTGCTAATTAAAAAAGAAAATTTTTTTAAGAGATGGGGTCTTGCTCTATATACTGCCCAGGCTGGCCTTGAACTCCTGGCCTCAAGAAATCACTCCCACCTGTCTTCCAAAGTGCTGGGATTATAGGTGTGAGCTACTTTACCTGGCCAAGAAAGCAAGTTTTTTTTTTTTGTTTGTTTGTTTTTGTTTTTGTTTTTTTGAGACACAGTCTTATTCTGTCTCCCAGGCTGGAGTGCAGTGGCACAATCTCGGCTTGCTGCAACCTCTGCTTCCCAGGTTCAAGCGATTCTCCTGCTTCAGCCTCCTGAATAGCTGGGAGGACAGGTGGCCACCACCACGCCCGGCTAATTTGTTATATTTTTGGTAGAGACGGGGTTTCACCGTGTTAGCCAGGATGGTCTCTATCTCCTGACCTCATGATCCACCTGCCTCGGCCTCCCAAAGTGTTGGGATTACAGATGTGAGCCACCACACCTGAACAAGAACAAATTTTTTTTTTTTTTTTTTTAACTTCCAGGTGTCTGTTAGCTTTCTTTGTTTTAGTAGCCAGAAAATAGACCACTGAGAGCCTCTGGCCTGTCAGTCAGTTTACCAGACTGGGACAGTTGCACTGGAATTTATAGTCACTATTCATGCTCATTAGTCACACCTGAAACTGTCAGAGTATTCGAGGGTGGGCTTATATAAATAATCTTAGGTAACCTACTTCCCATTTGGGAAGATAAAACATGTCTGTGAAAAATTAAATAAGAGGCATAAACCAAAGATTATGAAGACCTGTGAGCCACAGGTGCTCGGAAGAGGCGACACAGAGTTTTGTTAGGTGTCTAGCCAACCTCTTGTGCACCAAGAGTTGAGCAGACTGAATCAGCACTATGTCTTACATGCTTATGGGCTACTGTTTTTCAAATCTTTGCAGATACTGTTTGGAGAAATTAAATGCATCATTACTTTGAAGCATGATTGAATTCTTTGTAGTTTGGGTCATTATGGATATTTTCTTTCCTTTTTTTTTTCTTTTTGAGACAGAGTCTTGCCCTGTTGCCCAGGCTGGAGTGCAGTGGTGCCATCTTGGTGCCATTTTCCCCTATAAGTGTGGCTCACTGCAACCTCTGCCTCCTGGGTTCAAGCAATTCTCCTGCCTCAGCCTCCTGAGTAGCTGGGTTTATAGGTGTGCGCCACCATGCCTGGCTAATTTTGTATTTTTAGTAGAGATGGGGTTTCACCATGTTGGCCAGGCTGATCTTGAATCCTTGACTTCAGGTGATCCACCTACCTCGGCCTTCCAAAGTGCTGGGATTACAGGTATGAGACACCGTGCCTGGACCATTGTGGATATCTTTAATGAATGGACACAGAAAGCACGACTCTGATACGGGTGGGGAGAGGGGGCTCCAAAATGTTTTGGTGTTAAATGGATCCCTGTTCTTTAAAGAAAAGGGGGAGGCTGAGGCAGGAGAATTGCTTGAACCTGGGAGGCCGAGGTTGCAGAGCGCCGAGATCGTGCCATTGCACTCCAGCCTGAGCGACAAGAGCAAAACTCTGTCTCAAAGAAACAAAAAAGAAAAGGCCAGGGCCCTTGATAGAGACAAGATGTCAAGCAGGTCCTTTGCTGAAACACTGGGCTGTGGTCCCAGAGGCTGTGGAGTAAGTCCTGACTAACTCTGCTACCGTACACCTCATAGGAGTGGAAATACGAGGGTCCTGTAAGGCTGGCCTGCTGGAAATTCTTCCAAGGAAAGTGCTATTAAAAAGGCAAGGAATTACCGGTTCATGTTAGCTCAAGGCCACCAAGCTTCCCTTGAAGACAGTGGCCATGAAAGAACCCCAGGCACGGGTCAGCTTCTGCTTGCAGGAAACGCCATTTGGAATCTCCCAGGCCCACGTGGTTTCCTGCGATCAGATCCCACTGCCTGCCCTTCACTGTGGCTGCACCCGCAGCACAGCCAGCAAGGTGAGGGAGGAAGACCTGCTGGCTTGCAAGAAAACGGGGGCTGCTTTTGAGTTCTTTCGGCTTTGGTCTTCTTTCTCTCCAAGGACGCTGAGGAGGAAACGGAGGATGGATGGAGAGTGTGGCCAGGTTTGTGCCATGAGCTTCCTGGTCACTCCACCCACCTTCAGCCCTGAGCTGCTCATTGAAGTGGCCCTAGAAGGGAGATTCTCTAACCGGGGGTTATTCTCTTTTCCTGTAGCGTTCAGACTGCTGTGATCAACGTTTTCAAAGGGGGTGGCTTGCAAAGCAACGAGCTCTATGCCCTGAACGAAAACATCAGGTATGTGGCAGGCCAGACTTGGTGCCATTTCCCCTATAAGTCTGAGCAGGGACAAAGGGGCTACCCCCTTAGGAGCCTTACGGTTCTTTTTTCCTGCTTGGTTCATATGGTTCTTATTGCTGCTTCTGTCAGCTATGCGACTTTCATGGCCGTTGAGTTCTGAGACCTATATCTGCCTAGACTTCTGATCCAGAGAGAATTGTTTGTTCAGTACATAGTGTGTTTTGTGGGGGAAGGGAAAGGGTTGCTAGATGGCAGCTGTCATTTATTCTGTAAGCATTTATTGTTCCCTTCCTAACCATTAGGCACCGTAATAGGCAATTTGGCTTAGTGGTTGGAACCAGACTGCTTGGGGTTCTATTGCTGTTCTTCCTTTTACTGAGTGACTTACCGGCAAATATTTGAGTGCCTCTTCGTTGGCCAGGCACTGGAGAGGCAACAAGGACCAAAGACAGACACAGACCCTGCCCCTATGTGATTTATATTCACTGGGAAGAGAATCATTAGTCAACTAGCCACATGTGTGAAATGCAAACGTGTAACTAAGACAGCTACTCCAACACAGCTGACGTGATAAAAGCATGTTAGAATGACTTGATTTTTGCCATGGAAGCCAGGAATGGTGCATGTGATGCTGCTGCTGTGATCTGAAACATCCATGGGAATTACCTAGGTGAAGAGGGCTCCAGTTGGTAGAAACTGCACATGCAAAGTTCCTGTGGTTGCAACGAGCAAGGAACCAAAAGAAGACCCATCCACGTGCGTAGAGCACCAGAGGTTGAATAGTTGTGCAGTCAGGTCTGTGTTTTGGTGAAATGAGAGCAGAAAGTCAGGCAGGGCTCATTGCCCCAGAATCTCCTAGGGATAGGAGATCGATCCATCAGGTCTTTTAATACCCTGGCATTCATATGTTTCTGGATATGTTAAGTGCAGAACATCAAGGCTAAAGACCCAACCCTGGAGTGGGCAGAACAATAAACAAGTCCATTGTTCTGGTCCTGTTTACAGTGAGTTAAGGCCTGCTTTAAGGTCAGGGAGGTGTTTGAAGAGCTCTACTTTCATTAAAGTCTTTAGAATTGTGTTAAATTTACACCCATGTTCTTGAGTTTCACATCATACTTATATAAATATGGAAAAAGACAAAAGATATCTAGCCCAAGGCCTCATTTTACAAAGGAGGAAACTGAGGCCCCAAGAAGTTGAGTGATGGGGGCGAAGCTGGGTCAGGCAACCCCCAAGTTGCAAAGCTTCATTTTTCTCCAAGAACTAAAATTCTGGCCTTTCCATGAGGTTCTTTAGTTCACAATAGAAGTATAAATAAATAAAACAGTGACTCAGGAATGTGCTAATTGTTCTTCACTTTGGGAGGCTGATCCTGAAATTGTACTTAAAAGCTCTGTTTGTGGACAGCTGGGAGAAGTACAGGCCAAGCCAGATTTCACCAGCCCAAGTAGCCCAGGGACTGCTAACTCAAAAGCCTTCAGTCACCAAGCAGGTCTTCTGAGTGGGTGAAGCTGGCGTGGGTGCCTGGCAGTGAGATCTTGCCCTCTGTCGAAAGAGGATTACCCTGGCAGAACACAGGGCTGGTGATACAACTCTTATTTTCCAAGAAGAACTGGAAATTGGGATTATTATGTGAAATGTTCTGACTTTTAAATGTTGGTAAATAATCCAGACTTCACCAAACATTGGTGCAGGCCAAACAAAACACATCTGTGGATTGAATATGGCCAAGAAGCTACCCTTTTCTAACACCAGCCATTGCATGCATCAGGGAGGCAGCGACGCTTCGGGGTGTTAAGTTGCGGAAAACGCTAGGCGCCTTCCTCCTACATCAACACGTTCAACCCTCCCCACAGCACTTGTTATGAGGAGATGACAAAGAAGAAAATCATACATAAGAGAAACTAAATAGCTTGTCCAAAGTCACACAGCAATGAGCAGTGGCATCAGGATTTGAACTCCTTTCTGACTTAGATACCTGTATTAGTCTGCTTGGGCTGCCATAACAAATACCATAGACTGGATGACTTAAACAACAAAAATTTATTTCTCGATGTTCTGGAGGCTGGGAAGTCCAAGATGAAGGTGCCGATCATTTCTGTTCCTGGTGATGGCCCTCTTCCTGTTTTGCAGGTGGCCACAGTCTCACTGTGTGTACACATGACCTCTTTGCATTCGATGGGGAGAGAGAAAGCTGTCTGATGTCCCTCATAAGAACACTAATCATGTGGGCCCTATCCTCATGATCTCATCTGACCCCAAGTATCTCTCAAAGGCCCATCTCCAAATCCCATCAAATTGCGGGGGGCGGGGTGGTAGTTAAAGCTTTGACATATAAATTTTTGGGGGATGCATAGCCATACCTTTGTTCTTTGCACTAGATTGTAGTGTCAGAAAGAGATGTCTTATGTTCGGAGAAGGATTAAGCTGATGGTTCCTGATCTTTTTTTCTGCCATCATTCCTTTCTCGAGGTTTCTGGGAGCACACCTCTTATCACGTCCTGTGACTAACACCCCTCCTGTGGAGCATGACACTCCCCCAGCCCTCCTTTCCAGTGCTGGCGTTAGGACGGCTAGATGTTCCTCTGTCTTGAGTGATTTTTCAGATTAGTGGGAAATACATACGGATGAGATTTGAAACCATTTGCTCAGATATAAATTGAGCCCAGAATAAGCCAAAGCTTAAAAAAAAAATCAGAGCTTTCATTCCCCATGTTTCTATACCTTCCAAACTAGCCACACTATATTAGAGAAGGCCAGAGGATGGAGATAGGCTTTCACATCAGAGACATGGAATATCACTGAGGATATGAAGTATCTCACAGGCATTGATGTGACCTAGATGTCCCAAGTGGAATACAGCCAGCCCTCCCACATCAGCAAGTGCCTGTGTGGAGGTAAACACAGCTGCCATTATTCCAGTGTCTTAAACACTCACATCGGCTGCTCTCTGGTTACATTCAAATAGACACTTGGGTTTCGATTTTCCTTTTGGAAGACTTGTTTGCAGAATAGATCTGTCAACTCAACGTGGTTGAGGCAGGACTGGTGGAGAGGGTGGGGGCACGGGATGGTAGGCATGTCAGAAGGAGATGTGCAAACAGAGAAACGTCAGCTCTTCAGCCCATTTTTCAGTTGTGACAGCACTGTTATATGCAAGAGGATTTGTGCTAGGTTTAATAGAATTTTTTGACTTAAGAGAGCAGTTTCTGGATTCAGAGTCTAGGGATCAAAATTGGGCTAGCTGTGTGACCTTGGGCAAGTAATTTTATTTTCTAAGTTTGTTTTGTCTTTTATGAAATGAGGATAATAACCTCATAGTCACTGGGAGGCTTGAGACAATGCTAAAAGCATCCTTAGTACAGAGTCTGGTGATTTAATAAAGGTTTAATAAATGTTAGCCATATGATGCTTATTATTGTGAACAGTTAAGTGTTAACAGTTATTACTATGAATAGAAATTGATATATAGTGGGTGAATATGATGCATGAGAGCACAGGCCAATGTGATGAATTGCCCCATGAATAGTGCCACTTTGGGTCTTTCTCTGTGTGCAAGGGAGACTGACTCCGTCTAAGGTGATTTCCCTCTGTCACTTCTGTGCTTGCCCACTCTGCTACCACTCTATAGCCCTCTCCAGGCTGGGTGTCATGCTCCCGCCTATAATCCCAGCACTTTGGGAGGCTGAGGCAGGAGGAACACTTGAGCCCAAGTGTTTGAGATTAGCCTGGGCAGCATAAGGAAACATGGTTTCTACTAAAAATACAAATAAAATAAAAAGCTGAGCATGATGATGCACACTGCACTCCAGCCTGGGCAACAGAGCAAGATCCTGTCTCAAGAAAATCTTCTACGACAGTTTGGATGCAGTGAGCTCACTTTGAACTGGAGTCTGGGACAAGATCCTCAAAGAGAGGTGCCTGGAATTGAAGTCTGGGTGAGGCTAAGTTCTTATAAGGAGAGCCAGCTGTTTCTTCTCTCACAAAGAAAAGAACAAGAGGAAATGACTTTCTCAGTTCTCCATTCTACTCAAGCCAAATGGTAATAAACTTTTGGATGGAATATCCAAGTCTAAGGTCAAAGCCTAAATCAGATTCTTGGGATCACTCATCCCAGCCACCCTGGCCACTTCTATTTGTGGAGTTAGGATATACCTGGGAAATACAAATTTATTTAAATAGTAGCCAATGCAAAGGATGCCTGGGAAGATAGATGTCTTATGTAACTGGGTCCTGTAATGCAGTCATTATAATAAGTGGCCTTTCCTTTTAAGACATGTCTTTGGAAATGGACTCAATTTTAAATGTTAGCAGATAGACTTTGAAGCAACTATGTGGAAGAACTTGGGACTGAGAAAGGTCAAGTTCTAAAACACAGTATCGGATCCAAAGACAGGTGTCTCCACACTTTAAGAATAAATCTGTCAGGCCAGGTATGGTGGCTCATCTGTAGTCCCAGTACTTTGGGCGGCCAAGATGGCAGATCACCTAAGGTAAGGAATTCGAGACCAGCTTGGCCAACATGGCAAAACCCTGTCTCTACTAAAAATATAGAAATTATCCAGCCATGGTGGCGTGTGCCTGTAATCCCAGCCAGCTACTTGGGAGGCTGAGGCAGGAGAATCCCTTGAACCTGGGAGACAGAGGTTGCAGTGAGCCAAGATTGCGCCACTGCACTCCAGCCTGGGAAACAGAGCAAGACTCTATCTCAAAAAAAAAAAAAAAATATATATATATATATATATATATATCCATCATAAATATCAGAAATGTCACACCTCAATATAGTAGTAGCCAATGTTGCCCTATGCAAAAGTTAGGGCACATGGTTTGTTGATATGAAAACCGTCAATCAGAATATTTCCTATTGAAACTGCCTTAGGAAGCACAGCTTACACATTGTATTATCTCTCAAGGCAAGAAAATGACTTTTCAGAATAGACGTATTCTGGCTAAATCCCCAGGCATCACAATCTACAATTCTGTCTTCCCTAAAT